TTTTTGAGGAAACTCCATACTGTCTTCCATAGTGGCTGCACCAGTCTGCATTCCCACCAGCAGTGCACAAGTGTTCCTTTTTCTCCACATCCTCTCCAGCACTTGTCGTTTGTTGATTTGTTGATGATAGCCAGTCTGACAGGTGTGAGATGGTACCTCATTGTTGTTTTGATTTGCATCTCTCGGATGATTAGTGACTTTGAGCATGTTTTCATATGTCTCTTGGCTTTCTGAATGTCCTCTTTTGAAAGGTGTGTATTTAGGTCCTTTGCCCATTTTTTGATTGGATTGTTTATCCATTTTTTTTCATTAAAATCTTAACTACTTTCCCACTCAACACAATAGCTCAAAAATTGGTTTTTAAAAAATTCTAAAGCAATGCTTCCAGATAGTGCTCACGGTGTGGTGCACAGAGAAAATGATACTACACAGCAAGGAGCTGCGGGAACCTGATGCACTGCTCCTGTGGCTCTGCTCGGCCTCTAGGAGAGGAGGCATGACACACACCTGCGACCCAGTTACCATGGCACACCAACTGGGAAGCTTTGTTCTAGAACCGAGAGCAGTGGTTCTCCTGGCTGTTCCTTAGAATCACCTGGGGAACTTTAAAAACAATCTCAATCTCCCTATCAGCCCCCTCACCTGCCTCCCATCCATTACATCAGAATCTCTCCAGGGAGAACCCAGGCATTGTTCTTAAAGCAACCCAGGTGGCTCCAATGTACTGCTCTGCAAACATTCACAGGCGTTTGAATCTCTTGGCGATCTTGTCCAAATGCAGATTCTGATTCATTCATTCACTCTTGGGGGAGACCTGAGACGCTGTGGTTCTAATGGGATGCCAGGTGACAACAGTGGTGCAAGCCCACGAACCCCTGTTTGAGGAGCAAAGATCTAGAGCAGTGGTTCTTAAACTTTGGTGGTATCAGAATCACCAGGAAATTAATTAAAAATAGGGGCCCAGGCTCGCCGAAGTTGAATATGGCCTGGGCCTTGATTTGTACCAACCTGCCCAGGTGAATCTGACACAATAAAATTCAAAAACCACTGACTAGAATATTAAAAAAGATTAAAAATAGAAATCCATGAGGAAAAGTTATATGTCAGATATTAGAAAACACCATATAACAACAACCAAAACTGAAACTCAGGACCGTAAAACTGAGATAAGAGTGTGGCCAAGGAAGTGAGGTGGGATGTCTATGAACTTAGTACATGAAAGAAATTTCTCAAAATAAGTAGGAAAGGAATTTTAAAAACTAAGATTAATTTTTAAAATAGAGTGTTAGGAGTATTAAAAGGCTCCTTTCCTCCTGGCTGGTCTCCCTGGGAGAAGGGGAATTTAAATGAGAGGAAGACAGAGGAGGAGGAAGGTGGCCTCAGAACGGGGAGCACTCTGAGGACAACGGTAAGTTTCTGTGAAGGAGCCACAGGAGGGGCTAAGGCACAAAAGTAGAAAAGGCCGCGTGAGGTTAACTGAGATGAACTTCACGTATCTTGAGTTTTTGCCTGAGGCCATCCCTTAACTTTTCAAAAGGGAAAAAAAAAAACTTACTTGGTATCCTCCTAGGGTAAAGAGGGCTCACCTTGCCTAAGACACAGTAGAGATTTGAAGTATCAGAATTATAGCTCAGCGACAATATGGATCCTGGATCCTGAACTTAACTCCATTTTATACCATCATTTCTCTGGGACAAAAGTTCACTGAACACACATTGTAACATCACCAAAAACCATTCTGGAAGGAAGTGGCAAAAATATGACATTTAAATACCACAATTTTAGCTTGAATTTTTTTCCTTTTTTACTTTTTCATCATCAAATGAAAGATAAAAATATCACATCAGAAGAGAAATGGAGTCATGATGTTAAAAAAAAAAAAAACTTCAGAGTTCTAATTTTAAAAATAAGCCTTCAAGAATGCAAACCAAATTAAACCATGAAAAGGGCCAAAAATAGGTCAGAATCACTCCTCATCTTTTGTCTCAGATGGAAAAAGCTGGCCTTCCTCCTGCACGGCCCCCTCTCGGAGGTTGGGAATCTGCTGCCCATCGCAGAGCTCTGCGATGACAACGCCTGGCAGGTGTTGGGAGGTGAGGTCTTAGGCGTAGGTGAGGGCAGGTGCAGCTACGTCAGTCAAGGTCCAGTTTAAGGACATAAAATGAGGATGGGCAGGCACTTCAGGAATATCAGCCTGCACAGTCCCATCAAATGAGCATCTCAAGTTGGATGAGAGGTTTTCCCAGGCGATTTCGTACTCACCCTTCCCAGCTTTAACATTTCCGAATGCCTCTAGCCTGCCCTCCTCGGGTATGCATGGCCAATAAGTACATTTCTCCAGGAAAAAAAAAATGAATACACAAATCTGGGTTCCCAAAGGTTGAAATTTTAACTAACCATTGGCCCTTTACCTGGTTGGCCTCAAAGCTAAGGCCACTGCCGTCTTTTTGAACAGCCCAGATCATGCTAAGAAGGGGAACAGTCACCCTCCCCAACTCCCCTTCTCAAAGAAGGGGTATGGACAAATACTCTTTCTCCCAACCCCTCATCTGCGACTAATGTTAGCACAGCCTCAATTGTTTCTATATTCCCTGAGATCATAAAACCTTGGGAAATAAAAAATGGCTTATTTTCACAGGAAGATTAAGAACCCATGTCATAAATGGGACCATTCGGAAGAAAAAGGGGCCATCCTTCTCTTTGCAAAGAGGTAAATTTTTCCTAGACCCCAGGACCTAAGGCATTTGCTGACACGCCAAACCAACAGGAAGCGCTGAGGTACCCATCAGCAGTGTGTTGGGGGGGAGGGGGCGGTGTGTGCGGTGGCATCAGGCTCCTGGGAGATGGGAGAGCAATCCACCCCCAGCTCTCACAATACCTAACCCCCAGACGAATCAAGCTCTTCCACATAAGATGACTTTCTGACAGTTAACCGCCATAGCCGTCTCTTTAACCCGCGTCTCCAAGTCACCTGCACTCCTGAAAGAACAGGTCCGCCACCCCACTCCTACTGCCGCATGATGACACCTTAAAGCGCCTGAGGTGCAGTACCTGAGCAATGACCACACAGTCTACACTGGCTCCCTCACTCCCCAGACCTGTTTCATTTCCTTCAAAGCACCGATCACCATCTTTAGATCCCACCGCATGTAAGTGCTGCGACAGGCGTATCTGGTGCTCATTCCTCTCTTTCCAGTGTCCACACAAGGCCTGGCTCACTGTGAGCACTCACGACCTCTTGTTGGAAAGAGGAGAGTGAGGAGGGGAAAAGGAAGCCATGTCTTTACAGCAACTTGGAGCACAGCTCAAGCATGCAGTACCTATAGTGATCTTGCGCAGGTACTGTTCTCACATTCCGGGCTCCTCACCTCCACTCAACCCTAGTGAGGAGCCATTTTCCCCATGAATGATCTCCATACAATGCTGGGAGTTGGAGGAAAAGGCAATTTCCTCATTGGTTCTCAGCTCAAAAGTGCATGATTTTTTAAAATAACAGAATAGATTAGCTTAGAAAAATAAAGGAATGGCAGGCATCTATAGCAATTATTAACTTAATTGTGTAAGAGTGTGTGTGTGTGTGAGAGAGAGAGAGAGAGAGAGAGAGAGAAGAAAGAGAGAGAGAGAGAAAGAGAGAGAGAGAGAAGAAAGCCCTTTAATACATCTGTAATAAAGATTAAAAACTTAATGACTAACAGCTTCCATGTGATCCTCCCTCTTCTCCATAGGACTTTTCTCCAGACCACATACCCTTATTTTCAATCTCTCTTGGAAAAAAAGAAATAGGAAATGGTATTGTATGGGTTTAACAGAAAGGAAGATTATTTCCTAAAGAAATATGGGATATTTCCCCCACTTATTTACTAGCCTGATCAAAAGCTCAGACCACACTCAGAGTTCATGAGGTTACCTTAGGCAGTGGGTAATGGATGTATTCTGCTCCACATCGACAGAAAGATCAAGAAAATCTTCATCTTTGCTACTAACCTGAAGTAAAAAAAAAGAAGAAGAAAAAAGTCTTAGGCACAAAATACACAACAGACATAGTATCTTGAACACTTAAGTGGTAACCAAGAACCATAACTGCAGTAAAAGTAGTGTGTGGCTTTGCATATTCACTGGCAATCAGTAACCTTGGGAACCCAATCTACAGAAAATCCCAAATTTTCAATTTAATCATATCTCTATCCCAGCTTTGATTCAGAACTTTTTATTTTTTAATGTTTTTATTGAGAGAGGGAGAGAGATAGAAACATAGATGAGAGAGAAACATCAATTGGCTGCCTCCTACACACCCCTACTGGGGATGGAGCCCATAACCCAGGCACATGCCCTGACCGGGAATCAAACCAGCAACCTCTTGGTGTATAGGACGACGCTCAATCCACTGAGCCACCCGGCTGGCTAGAACTCTTAATAATGAAAACTCTACCAGATTTCTCTTCCTCTCCATTCATTTCCTCCACTGTTCCAAAGTAGGAAGTATCAGATAGGTAGCCATATAGCTCAGACTGGCAGAATGATAAAAACGAAAATGGAAAAAGGACGAGACACGTAGAAAACCTGCTACTTGAGGGTCAGCCCTTCGTTAAGGTGTGTGCACTTTCTGCCTATCCCTTGAAATCACCCCCTTCTTCCCAGGTCTGCTCATTCCAACCGCATGAGGGGCCAGGGAGCCTAAAGCGCGAGGGGCTGTAGAATCACACCAGCTCCAGGTGCAGCTGTCCTTTGATACAAGACGTGGCCATCATGTGCAGAGCCCTGCACTGTCTGTGGTAACAACTGGACCCGGAGCTGGCCTGGAGCCGAGACTCGCACCGGCCTGCCTGCCACTCCGGCCTGCTCTCAGGCAGGATGGCTCACTGGCCCAGGCTAGTTCTCAGCCCTCCACAGATCCAATTCCGGGCCTACTTATTGAAGCTCTCCAAGAAACTGTATATATTCCAGCAGTTCACCAGCTTTTTACCATCTTGGAGTGGGAGGGACCAATTATTCCTGCAACAACCTTGAGGTAATCAGTCAAGTGGCAACAAAATGAAAATAATACTCCTTTACGTGTGACCCAATACTCCACTGCTAGGAAATTACCTAGAGAATTATTCAGAGACGTGAATACATCTTTTATACTTGTGTAAGTCTACACAAGATGATGTATTGAGACAGACTGCCCAGCGCCATATCCTGTCTCTGCCCCTTATTAAAGTGGATGACTTATGGCCAGGTACTTAGCCTCCCTGTACCTCAGTTCCTCATTGGTAAAGTGGGGACAGTAAGAGTATCTATTTCATAAGGCTGTTTCTAAAGATGATATAAATAATACATGTTAAGTGCCTTAAGAGATAAACATTCAACAAATCATGAGGAGTAGAAAATGTTAAAAGGCCTAAAATGGTCAAGAAGTTGGAAACAGTTTACATACATTATGGGTATCACAGTAAATGAAAAAGTTGACTATCCAATTATGTGAATTAATTCCAATTTTGTATAAAAGGCCTATATATAGTGGTGGACAAAAGCAGGTTCATAATTTTGAATACACAAAACACAGGGTTAATTCTTGTATTATTATTTATTTATTATTGTATTATTTTCCATATGAACAAACGTAAACCTACTTTTTATTATTATTGTATATTTACATACACACACACATACACACACACACACGTCTCTATCATCCTAATTTAATTTTTTATGGCACTTATTACTGCCATGGTAGAATGCACGAAAGGCCCCAAATCCTTACCATTGCCTAAACTAGCCTTTTTGCCACATGACTTTACAGATCTCTTATCAAGGGGTATGTTCCCCAGCCCTTGATTCTGCATTCACCATGTGATATGCTTTGGCCAGTGGAATGTTAGAAGACGTGTTATAAGCAGGGGCTTGAATAAGCACTTGTGAAACTGCTCTCTTGCCCTTCTGTCATCACCATGAGGATTGGCCCACTGTTCCCAGGAAGATGGGACCCAGGGAGCAGAGCTTTTCTCACATTGGTGCCCAGCCAGGCCCAGCCTCAAGCCAAACCCCAGTTGGCCTGCAGACACACGAGTGAGCCAGATAAAATACAAACACACAAATTCGGCCAAGTCCATAGATGCATGAATTCTAATGCTAAATCATAATTGATTTAGGTCAGACTTTTAGGGTGGTTCACAACAAAGCAACAGATAACCAGTACAACTACAGCAGGTCCTTGAATAATGTGGTTTTGTTATGACATTGATGAGATGCCAGAGGAACTTAACTCTTATTTGTATCAATTAGCCAATGGTAAAATTGGTTTCATTATACACTAGAGGCCCAGTGCAGGGATTCGTGCACCGGTGGGGTCCCTCGGCCTGGCCTGCGGGAATCGGCTGAAACCAGCCTGGTGCACGGATTCATCCACGGCGTGTCCAGCCTGTCCTGCCCAGTCCCAGTAGGGGCCGTTCCGGGCCGGCCAGCCGGGGAGGGACCGTGGGAGGTTGGCCAGTCGGGAGGGCTCCAGAGCATGTCTGGCTGTCTCGCCCAGTCCCTATGGCCAGACCCCAGCAACATATTAGCCTTTTATTATATAGGATGTCCAACAACTGCAAAATATACATTCTTTTCGACTCAGCAAGGGTAACAGCCTCCCAGGGGTTTTCAGGCAATGTTAGGAGACATTTTTGTTGTCTCATCTTGGGGGATGCTACTGGCATCCAGCAGGTAGAAGCCAGAGATGCTGCTAAAAAACCAATAATGCACAGGGCAGCACCCACAACAAAGAATTATCTGATCTTAACTGTTAAGTTCCAAGGTTGAGAGAACCTGTTTTCAAGTACATTTAAGAAATTGGACCATGTGTTAGGATTTGAAATATGTCAAAATAAATTTAGAAAGATTGAAACCATACAGAAGATATTCCCTAACCACAATGGAATTAGATTCTAAATCAATAATATTCAAATATCTAGGAAAATCCCAAATGTTTAAAAATTAAAAAGCATATTGCTAAGTAATGTATGAAAGAAAAAAATCACAAGAGAAAATTAGAAAATATTTTGAACTAATGACAACACATATCAAAAGTTGTGAGATGTAGCTAAAGCAGTGCTTAAAGGAAAATTTATAGCTTTAAAATGCATATATTAATAAACTGTAGCGCAGGGACTATCTTTTCTGTTGGTCTAATTACTACAGCCCTAATACCTAAAATAATTTTCAGCATTTAGTAGGTACCCAATAAATATTTACTAAATGAATGAATAAATAACAAAAGAATGAACAAGTAAAAAGATATCTAAATTCCAAGAGATATCAAGTGACAGAATTATGAATAATTTTCTTTTTATAAATTCTGTTTTCTTTCTTTTTCTTTTAATCCTCACCTGAGGATATTGTTTTTTATTGATTTTAGATAGTAAAGGAGAGAGAGGGACACATCGATCTGTTGCCTCCTGTACACACTCCAACCAGGGATCAAATCCGCAACCTAGGTATGTGCCCTGTGTGGGAATCGAACCGGCAACCTTTTTGGTGTACAGCATGACATTCCACCAACTGAGCAATCTGGCCGGCTACATTCTGTTTTCTTAAAATAATCCAAAGGTATTATATTTTTTAATTAACAAAACTTTTTCTAGAACCAAATGGCCCTTCTCAGGGGGTGAGGGGGAGGGGAGGGGAGAAAGAGGTGTATAGCTAACTGAAATCATACATAATTTAGATAGCTAGGATCAGGTTTTACTAAAACTGTTACAGCTGGAAGGGAGCAAAAACAAAGAAACGTTTTCTCCTGTTAGGCAGAAATCTTTTTCTCTACTCATTTTAGGAGATGGGGGGTGGGGGTGGGGTAAAAATTTAATTAACTAACTGGGTAAAGTTACTGTAACTTTCTCAATTCCCAATGCGAACTGCTCCCAGGATTTAAGACTGTGAGAAAGCACTGCTCAGGTGGATCAACCCCACTGGGAATATCAAAACACGGCATAAACCCTCTCACTTGGGTTTCTCTCTCTCCCTGCCCAGATTGACAGTCAAAAGCAACGAGTGATCAGCAATCTTTTTTCCTTTCTCTCTTCCCAGAAAGCTGCCAGGAAAGAAAACCTTTTTCTTCCCACGCACAAGGATCTCATTCTGGTCTAAATGAAAATACAGCTTGTCTCCACGGAAACATAGATATCACTAAGACTCCAACGCTCTCAGCAAGTACAGGCTACATCTTATTCTCCTTTCTTCCCCCCGACTGGGTTCCTAAAAACTCTAGTTTAAGAAGGGTGGAAGAGACCCTACTTGCTCTTCTCCAAAGTAATAATTACAAATTAATAGAACAAATTAATTTATAGGGTAGACATATAAATCACAAGCTTTGCTAAGTTTCTGAGTCATAAAAATCATATTCAAATGTGCTTTTAAATCCAGAGACTCCTTTCCTGGGCTTATTAGAAAAGGTGATCAGGCAGGAGCCCCATGCTGTTCAGCCAGAACCTGAAAATGCACTGGCCTTGAGCAGTGCCAATACGGTGGACTTGGGACAAGTGGCAAGACAACCCACCTGGACCCCAGGGACTCAATCACACCTGGCCACACCACCCACCCCACTCCTCTTCTGTGAAGAGCTCAGAAGCTCTACTGGATCAACTTCTTTTAAAAAAAAACAGGGACAGATCCAAAGACAGAGAAATTTTTTATTGATTTCAGAGAGATGAAGGGAAAGGGAGAGAGTGAGAGAGTAACATCAATGATAAGAAAGAATCACTGATTGGCTGCCTACTGCATGCCCCCTACTGGGGATCAAGCCCTGATAGAGAAGCAAATGGTGACCTCCTGGTTCTCAAGTCGATGATCAACCACTGAGTTACACCGACCCCGCTCCCGGATCAATTTTAACCCCTGCAAACAAAGCAAGAAGGAGCTGTACTATCGGTAGTTAATAAAGCGGTTCTGTAGACAACCTTTGGCTCCAGTAACAGACAGAAATGTGTCTTAAAGCCACTGAGAAGCACTGAAAACCACCAGTTAGCAGAGCACAGACTCCATGTTAATGGAAAGGAAGAAAATTAACAACAACAAAATTGAGCTCCAACGGGCCCTGCAAATCTTACGAACCAAGCAAAGAACCGCCAAGGCAGCGCCGAGGCTGCTCTGTAAACCCCACGCCTCAGTTCTGAAGAGCCTTGCTCCAGGTTACCCAGGGAAGTCGGCACTGAATTACCCCCCTTAAAACAAGTCTCTCCAGGTCTACTGCAGAATGAAACTGTTTGTCTCCATAAATCGGCAGTTGACATTTGTACAGCAATCACAAGCAACATTTACAAAGGGTGAGACCCAGAAAAAAAAAATGATTGTTTTCTGAAAGCATGAAGGCTCCCACAAAGAGTTTTCCACAATTGGAGGAACTAGCAGCCAGGCAGCTACAATGGCGAGCTTCCCCGGGGGCTAATTTGCTGCTCGGGATCTGGTGCAGTTTCTTCCCACTGCGAGATTTCACACATGTGGGGCCTGGCAATTCTGACTGAAGCGCCTTCTGCAGGCTGCCTGCCCTGCACAGAGGACCTTACTGGAAGGGGGCCTGCGTTTCTCATCCTGAGCAGGAAAGCTAAAACCCTACGTGTTCTTTCACTCCAAGTCCTCAACATTTTACAGGACACAAAAATAAAGCCTGCAGGTTATGTATTTCCTTAGAAAGTAGAGAGCTTTCTAACAATTAGAGCTTTCTAAAAATGGAATGCATCTCCTCAGGAGATTGAGTTCCCTGTCTCTGGACAGGGTCCAGTAGATGACCAACTGGCTAGGACGACACAGAAGGGACTGGGGCACAGGGCGAGAAAGGATTAGGTGACTCCTAGGATCCTGTTCAGTTAAAGGACCTAAGAAAATGGAGGTGATTATCCCAGAAAATCCAGGGGAAAAACACTCTTGCCTGAAATCATCTAGTACTCATTTCAGGGAGGAATCAATGTAAGAATCAATCTGATTGCCGCAGAAAGACATCCCCACATACTCTCATTCACTCCCACAAACCAACCGTAAGTGGCTGGAATCCCATTATCATAAACTCTACAAGGTCATCCAAAATCTACAGAGAAATCTTTGGGCTCAGGTTTCCCCTCTATGGCGACCCTGCAGAAATAACAGACTAGGTGATAGCTTTTTCAATACAAATATTTGAGATGCAATATTTGCATTTGCTGGGATCACAGACAACAAAGAAACTATAAATAAAACTGAGCCTCCCAGCTGAGCCTTCCTGAAAATCCAGACACTGGAAGCTGGATTCAGTCATGTGTTTATTTCAAAGATTTAAAAAAATAAAATAAAATAAAACCATTTCATTGATCCAAAAGCAGGCAAGAGAGAAAACAAAATATAAAATAGGTGTGTTATATAAAAAGAAAGAGTAGGATGGTAAAAACAGACTGCCATTTACTACGCATTTCAAACACCACCACAGATGTTTCCAGAATGTGGGAAATTCTACGGGACAAATAACCTGATTTCTTCAACGAATAAACCGGAAGGAAAAAAAGTGGGGGATGGGGTAACCTATAGATTAAGACAGAGACTAACCAAATGCAATGTGTAGACTATGTATGAATCCTGATTTGAATTAAGCAACTGCTAAAAATATATATATGAGATGAAAAAATTCCAGAGAAACTGAGTGAATAATGGTTTAAAGAAATTATTTTAAAAGTAATTGTACTTATGTTTAAAATAAAAAGATTTCTTTCCTTTTAGAGATACAGAACAAAGCACAGTCCTCGGGTTACGTCGGACTCGACATACGTCGTTTCGTGGTTACGTTGCCATCTCCCATCTATTTATAAAAAAAAAAAGTTCCATCATTTTGACGTATGTACATTTGTGCTTTATGTTTTTTATTATTGATTTACCACAAGTAAAGGTCAGGAATTGTTATCTTCCCTTTAAGTTTCTTTTACTGCATCACTTCATTACTGCTGTGTCTGTGCTCCATGTGAGTGACCTAGGTGCTTACGTAGGTAGGTTCCAACTTACAGCGAAAATCGTGTTACGTGGCACCGCAGGAACGGTCTCCGACGTAACCCGAGGACCTACTATAATGAAGGAACTACAAGTAAAATGATATGTTATCTAAAATTTGCTTAAAAATAGACTAATTTGATGATGAGGGAGAGTGCATGGAATAAGAGATGAACAAGATGGGCCAATGTGTTAACAATCACTGATCCCAAGTAATACACACATGGGATTTATTATACTATTCTAATGCTGTATTCATATGAATTTTACTGGAATGTAAAATACAAAGGAATGAAAGGAGAAAAGGGAAGAAAGACAGCTATCTAGATAGATAAGTATGTGTAGAAAATGTTTTGGCAGGGTGTATTCCAAAATGTCCCATTGTTATCTCTGGGCTAATGTGGGCATCTCTGAGTGGGAAGATTACTGGTAACCTTTAGTCTCTTTTTGCTTAGCTATGTCTTCTTATTTATTTTTTTTTACAATGAACAAATCAGAATGCTAATTCCAAAATTGTTTAAAAGGATAGAAGGGAGACTGTCTGAAAATGAAGAGCCTTCCATTTAAATCCACATTCTTGACTACTTTTGTGTAGAAAATGTTTTGGCAGGGGTTATAGCCCCTTTACAAAATCTGATGAAAGCTATTATCTCCTCAGAGAAAATGGACAATCCTACAGAATTTTTCATGTAATGTCAAGAAACTCGAAGATCCCTGAGGAACCCATAGAGTTCCTACGCTGTTAGCAATTATAATAACTAATAATATCTAACATTTTTTGCATACTTCCTATCTACCAAGCATGGTTCCAAGTGTTTTACAAATGTTAACTCATTTAATCCCCCAGCAACCCTATGAGATAGGCACTGTCATCATCCCCAATTTACAGATGAGGAGAGTGAGGTCAGAGAGGTGGAATAATTTGCACAGGGCCTCACAGCTACCGAGTGGCTGAGCCAACATTCCAACTTGGCCGCCTGGCTGCAGAGCCGGGTTCTACCTACCATATTTTGCAGCCACATACAGACGTAAATCAAGTATACCAAGCAAACATAACATCCTGAATCATATTCTGGAGATCACATCTTCAGATCCAACTAACACCATGTGCCTACATACCATGTGCCAGTCTCATCCAAGCACTAAGCTCACCCGGCCCTCACAACTGCAATGGAAGGGCATTGCAGTCTCCTGACTTCAAGCTCACCATACCACACAGCTGATTCCCTTAAAGTCAGAGAGATGGTCTAAGTCACACATGGCCTCCTTGGAACCAAAATCTTTTCAAGATTACTGGTGGAGGTCCGGTACAACAGTTCAATCCTTGGGCCCTAAAATTTGCCCAGGATGCAAAGCAATCCAGTTGCTAAGAAGTGCCCTAGTCACTCTACTTTAGCCAGTGGAGACAACTTAGATCAGCGGTTCTCAACCTGTGGGTCGCGACCCCTTTGGCGGTCGAACAACCCTTTCACAGGTCGCCTAAGACCATCCTGCATATCAGATATTTACATTACAATTCATAACAGTAGCAACATTACAGTTATGAAGTAGCAACGAAAATAATTTTATGGTTGGGTCACAACATGAGGAACTGTATTTAAAGGGCCAGGAGGTTGAGAACCACTGACTTAGATGGAGACATGCTTGCAAACCTTTGCACCTGAGGTTCATATACGTAGGTAGAAGTGTCTGCATGTACTGAAGACAAATGTTGACACTAAACCACATTGCACTCACACGCAACCTGGCCTCTACAAATACATACGAGCCTACAACATGCGAGCTCGACCAATGCTTACAGTTTCACAGTTCAAGCATCGAGTTTCATTGGTGAGCGTTCCCTGAAAAATCTCATGGACCCAGGTGAGTTCTGGTTTGTTGTTCTCTGCAGGTTCATTCATGTTGCCATTTTTTAATTTCCCATTTTGTTTCTCCTGTTTCTTCTCTTCCTGCAGGATGTCCGCAATAGTGTTTAGCAAATAGTTTAAAAATTCGTGAGCATCCTGCTGCATGTAGTTATCAAAGAGATCTGGAAAAGAAAAGGCCATTATTTCAGTCTCTGGTCCTTAAAAAGCCAACAAAAATGCTCAATTTTACAGGCGACACTTCAGTTTTTATATTGAAAGGGGGAACAAGTATGCAATATATTCATCTCTTTTGGCAACTTCAATAGGTAAATTTAAAAAGGATTTTTGGTCATGTTCATTTTTTACTGCCCACCAAGAATTGAATTTCATGTATTTCCTTAAAGTCGTCATGTAAATAAAAAGCTAGTAAAATTTCTTTACAAAAAAAAGTAGAAATTAATTGATGTTTCCTGATAAAATATCAATATTTAATATGATGTGACCCCCAATGATCAATTATTCATTCTGTAATTTATCCAGAGCAACCGGAGTCTCTTCCCAAAGATCACACTGAACCCTGCCTGGGCCAGCCTGGAAGCAGCTTCATTGAGCACATACAGGAGACGAAGGATGTGTGTGAGAATGAGTCTACCTGACAGTGTCCTGAAACCAACTGCTGGTCCCTGCCGTACGGACACACAATCTAGAGATGAGTGCAGCTGTGAGACTTCATTATCAATCATGCTCACAACGAGACGCAGGCGCGCTCTGCTGCCTTCTCAGATTACTTTTATTCTGGTGCATATAAGCTACAACACCTTTAAGAGGCAGCAATCAAATTAAATGAGACTTTATAAAACAAACATCTGATTAACTCTGCAAATCTGTTGGAGTAAGGCTGAAATCTAGGATAATCACAAGTTGCCATATCAAATATTTCTATAGTCATAAAAATTACCAATGCAAAACTTCTGGAATAACCTAGTCTCTACCACCACTTGCCCGCCCTGCCAAAATGACAGGAAAGGCAGAAAAAAAAATCAGGCGACAGCAGGACATTTTTATCATAGAAAGGTATCAATTTAATACCCTTTGTCTTAGGTAAATAAAAATGAGAGGTATTATTTTTAAATAGCAGAGGCCCTGATTAGGAAATATGCATTACTTTAATCACTTATAACAAGTCTATAAGATAGTACTATTTCATTCAATTATTGCATCAATCTATTTCTTCCAATCAGTGTCCTGCTTAGAAGGCTGTTTTGGGAAAATTTTCCTCTTACAATGATCGTACCTTCCAAATATGAAGCAAATAAAAAGACCATTCCAAAGTGAAATGGCAAATCTGAATTTTTAAAGCATATTTTTAATCTAGTTTTGTTTTATGTATACTGGGTAGGATATTTTCTTTAAAAAACTTTGAGTAATTGGCCATACTACTTCCCCCTGGGGGAAATGAAGGACTCATTCTGAGGATACATAGAGAACTGTCCATTCTCCTTATTTCAGACCTTGACACACACTCATCTGCACACTACTCACCATTCTCTTTTCTCAGCCTTGAAATGAACTTCTTTGGTGGGATCACGCCGACCTTCTTCTTCTGCGTGGCAATGCTGTGGAAAAGGTCTGCCAGGCACGTCAACAAGTTTTCCTTCTTTTTTTGCTGGGCCTTGTATGCCAGCACATTCTCACGGAACGGCCGGCAGAAGTACAAGGCCTGAAGCACAGAGTTACAGTAGCACGTGTTCCCGAACTGCCAAAGGACAACAGGTCTGGTTCAGATCACGGCCCGGGACACGCCACCTCTGGAAGGGGTCGGGAGAGGGAGAAGGCCCCCCTCCAGAAACCAACCAGCCTGGAGTCCCTGCATCAGAGTCCTGCTCACCATGTCAGAAAACGAGTAAACACCGGTGACCAGCTGACCAGCAGGGAATGAACACAGTCTGCATAGCCTAGTGCCTCTCTAGCCCATTACCATCTCTTAAAAGGTCAGAAGCTCTCTGCCTGGATAAAAAAAACCTCTAATGAGACCTTCTGGTGCTTAAAAAAACTCAACATAACACGGAGGCCCAGAAAGGCAGCTGGCTAAATAAGAGATACTACACCGCAGCACATCAAAACTCCTCTGACAGCAAAAAGAAAAACCCCAATCACAAAGAAACCCAGGAACTAGGAGCCACTTGCTCAGATGAAACAGCCTTAACTGAATGGGACTTATTTCAGTTTTTCTCTCTCAAGATGCTAGCAGCCTGCCCACTGGCTTTAGACCACATTTCCTCCCTTTCTCCAGGGCAACAGAAGCAAGGAGGTGCTTCCTTCAGTCATCCCACAGCCTCCTCCCTTGTAACTCCTAAATCACCCTCGCACTTGCTTCTGCCAAAATGGCGATACGATAGCCCTCAGCTCTTGGTCTCCTGCAGTCAGATCAGGGCCCCTGCAGGAGTATTTGGTGCCTCTCAAAACCCACAGACACTCAGATGATGATTAAAGAGGGAAAAAGTTGTCATCTCGCTGGCTTTGCTGACTGGAAAACCAACTCTATAAGAGCACAGCAAAGACGATCACTTTAGAATTTTCCTACACGTAAAATGAAAAGGGAAAAAACTAAGGAAATAACAAGATTAAAACCACTGATAGCAAAATGCTGTGTAAGACTGAAATAGAACATGAGCATCTTCTCAGGACTGGCTGTTGGCTTGCGTGCCGTTTACCCAGCAGCCAGACAGATGCTCACCATGCTTACCGTGACATTTCTACGTATGCTAAGATAGAACAGCTCCTATTTTTACATATTTTAATCTACTTGGACTCAATTATGTAATAGGAGGCAAACTTTTTTTTTTGTTAATCCTCACCAAAGGAAATTTTTTCCATTGCGTTTTAGAGAGAGTGGAAAGGAGTGGAGAGGGGGGATATGGGAAGGAGAGGGAGAGGGAGAGGGAGAAGGAGAGGGAGAGGGAGAGAGAGAATGAAATATCACCGTGGGAAAGACACACCAATCACCCCGACCGGGCCAGGGATGGAACCTACAAACCCAGGTAATGTGCCCTTAACCAGAATCAAACCTGCGACCCTCCAGTGCACAGGCCGATGCTCCAACCACTGAGTAACACCAGCCAGAGACAAACCTCTTTTTAAAGATAAGCTGGACTGCCCATGAATTACCTTTCAAAGTGAACATACAGCTATTAATGAATTTAGGTCTCACAATGCTCCCACAACCTAGGCCAGTGATGGCGAACCTTTTGAGCTCGGCGTGTCAGCATTTTGAAAAACCCTAACAACTCTGGTGCCGTGTCACATACAGAATTTTTTTGATATTTGCAACCATAGTAAAACAAAGATTTATATTTTTGATACTTATTTTATATATTTAAATGCCATTTAACAAAGAAAAATCAACCAAAAAAATGAGTTCGCGTGTCACTTCTGACACGCGTGTCAGAGGTTCGCCATCACTGACCGAGGCTGCCTTCTTTCTTCCCCATAGTCTGCACTTGTATTCTCCTTAGCCAGGGCAGAATTCCCACAACTTGGATATCTTCAGAGAGCATAAGCAGAGGCCTGTGCACAATGGCTAAACAATAAATTATATTAAAATGAGAAGTCAGCATTTCGTCAGCACAATGCCCTATATCCCCGTACTTCCACCTTCCATTCTTTTCTCTTTTACGCAATGTGTTGACTTTACCCAAATACCCTCCGTAACACTTGGTCTTGATCCAATGGACAACTCCTGGAGAAAAAGGAACTAACATTCACCAGGTGTCCACAATGTACTGCAGCCTCATGTCAAGGTCTTCAATGGGAGCTCTGACTGACCCTTCACTCTAAACCATTGATTTCCACTTTACAGATGGAGAAAGGAGGCTCAGAGAGGTCAAATGACTTGCCCAAGATCAGACAGCTAGCGAAAGGCATAGGCAGAGCTCAGACTTGGGCCTGTATTACTTTGAAGCCAATATCCATTCTATTATAATCGCAGGTAGCATTTCCTTACAGAGAATATTTCCAGCCTCCTCCGTGAAAATCACTGCCTATCCCACCTGAGTACTGACTGACCGTGCTCAGAGCAGTTGCTCCAGAAAATCGGGTGCTTGTGAATTAACACCTGGTGTCACTTACAGCTCCACCTCAGAAGGAAGCTCACGAGGGTGGTGGGTGATACTGCCTCACTACTTGGTCATAATCAGCTTTTCAAGGAAGCAGAGCCTGGCAAGTCGGGCCATAAACAAGGGCGCAGTGCTGAGCACAGATGAAACGAAGCCAAGGAATTCTGAGATAAACTGGTCCCCCACCGCCCGCCTGTGCTTCAGTTACCACCACCAAGTTATATTGTTAAACACTTACTGGTGATGAGTTGGAAACACTTTTAAAACTCCGATTGTGCCCTGACCGGTTTGGCTCAGTGGATAGAGCGTCGGCCTGCAGACTGAAGGGTCTCAGGTTCGATTCCGTTCGAGGGCATGTACCTTGGTTGCAGGCACATCCCCAGTGGGGAGTGTGCAGGAGGCAGCTGATCGATGTTTCTCTCTCATCGATGTTTCTCACTCTCTATTCCTCTCCCTTCCTCTCTGTAAGAAATCAATAAAAATATTAAAAAAAAAAAAACCTCCGAACTCCGATTGTACTGATGTATCTGAAACAGACTGCCTGAGGAGTCTATACATCCAGAGGACAAAGAGAGAGCATATGAAAGCAGATTTCGCCACAGAAGTTAATAAAATCTCCTCGCAAAGGTATGTGTACAGTGGAAATCCTTTAAAAGAGCGGTCGCCAACCGGTGGTCCACGGACCACTGGTGGTCCATGAGGTCCAAAAGGTTGGCGACCGCTGCTTTAAAATATGGGTGGGGTAAAATGAGAACCTGACACAATAATGCAGTAGTTAAACCAGTGGTTCTCAACCTTCCTAATGCCGCGACCCTTTAATACAGTTCCTCATGTTGTGGTGACCCCCCAACCATAAAATTATTTTTGTTGCTACTTCATAACTGTAATTTTGCTACTGTAAACAATATGTAATTATGTATGTGTTTTCCGATGGTCCTAGGTGAGTGACCCCTGTGAAAGGGTTGTTGGACCCCTACAGGGGTCGAGACCCACAGGTTGAGAACCACTGAGTAAAACCCTTCTTTCTGAGGTAACTCACATTTTCAAAATCTGGACTAAATTTCCCCCTCCCCAACATTTGCCACTTCTGGTAACTAAAGAGCATGAACAATTATCTAAAAATGTTTTATGAAAATGGCAGTGGAGCCCTAGCTAGTATGCTCAGTGGTTAGAGCGTCCGCCCTCAGACCAAAGGGTCTCGGGTTCAATTCCTGGTCAAGGGCAACCAACATACCTTGGTTGCAGATTCAATCCCTGGCCCCAATTGGGCATGAGCAGGAGGCAACTAATCTATGTGTCAATCCATGTGTCTCTCACATGGATGCTTTTCGCACTCGTGCGCGCGCACTCTCTCTCTCTCTCCCCCTCCCTCCGCCCTCCTTTTCACTCTCTAAAAAAAATATCCACACTCCTGGGGTGAGGATTTAAAAAAAAGAATCAGAGAAAGACAAGTATCACATGATCACACTCATATGTGGAATCTAAGTAACAAAATAAACTGATGAACAAAGCAGATCCAGAGAGTTCCAGAGACATGGACGCACAGAACAGAGTGCAGAATCTCAGAGGGAATTCAGGAGAGGGTGGGTGGGTGAGAGACAATCAACCAAAGGCCTTGTTTGCATATATGTATAACCCATGGACACAGACAATAGGGTGCTGAAGGCCTGGGGCGAGGGGCTGGGTTGTTTTCATTTAAAATCATTCTTTTCCCAAAAACTATACTTCAGTATAAAACAGGTATTTAAGAAGTCATTAGTATGTACACAGGTGGCTGTAAAAAATTACCCACAACTCATATTCTATTCCAAAGGTGAAAAGATTCAATGGGGGGAAAAGGGGACATATGTAATACTTTCAATAATAAAGAATTATTTTTAAAAACGAAAATGGCAGTGAAATTGCTTCAAGTATTTTAAAATATTTGATAAATAGTTTCAACAATGAAGATAAATTAAACGATGAAATGATAATACATTTTTAAATACTTACATTGACCAATCCGAAGTAGTGCTCATTGACGGGAAACTGCTCTGGGCCGATGTCTTTTTCCAGAGCAGAGGCATTGGTGCCCTGCAAGAGAAAACACCGAGAGCTCTGCTGCGTGTAAAAGAGACAAGACAGTAAAACGATGCTTGAGAGGCCACTTGAGACAAGCATCTCCCTGGCTGCCCTGGTGTTCGACGTTCATGCGGAAAGAAAAGGGGTCAGAAGCAAAGCAGCCGTAAATCCTCTCTTCGTCCACCTTAATCGTCCCTCAGATCTGTCCTTCCTGACTTCAACTGTCTTCTACTGAGAAAGGAGGCTCGAGACAAGCACATGAGCAAGCTGTCACCAGGAGCTTCTGAACAGCCCGGCTGGCGTGGCCCAGTGGTTGAGCGCCAACCCACGAAGCAGGAGAACACGGTTCAATTCCCGGTTAAGCACATGTCGGGGTTGTGGGCTTGACCCCCAGTGGAGGGCGTGCAGGAGACAGCCGAATGATGATTCTCTCTCATCATTGATATTTCTAGCTCTTCCCCTTGCTTCCTCTGAAATCAATAGACATTTTTTTAAAGGGCTGCTGAAGAGAACCTTCTAAGCTCAGATAGCGTCAGCCACTTTAATAATCTTTAGTGGTTAGAATCATGCCGTTGCTTTCAAAGTCAATGTCTTCATTCTGATAGATGGGTCACACACCTACAGATCGGGCACCATTCCAGGCTCTCCCAATGGAACAGTGGACAAAGTGGACTTGGGTGCCTGCTCTCATGGAGCTCATATTTCAGTGGATGAAGACAGAAAAAGCCAATACACTGGACAGAGGTGGTAAGTGCAGTGGAGAAAAACAAAGTAGGAAACGAGGGTAGGGGGCCAGGGAGGATGGGGTGAAGGGAGGCATAGTGGAGTGGGCGGTAGAAGGTGGACAGTTGCAGCTTTAAGTAGGGTGGTCAGGGAAGGCCTGACTGAGAAAGTGAAATGTCCAAGGAATATTGTGGATAAAGGAGGAGTACGATTTAAAAACTAACAATTCCCAAATGCATCAAATTGGTAAGCCACATGAACCCAACCAACTCTCCAACACAATGATAGTAACAGTTCCTGGAGCTCCTACCATGTGCCAGGGATTGCGCTGTTTATTCTCACAACAATCCTATAGGTACGACTATAATCCGCAATTAACAGATAGACCAGATAGCTCAGAAGGGTTAAAAACCTATCTGAGGACCACAGTGGCAGAGCTGAGACTTGAACCGGGAGTCAGACTTAAGAGCCCAAGAGCTTAACCATATGCTATGCAGTGCAATCCTATTGATAAACACCACCATTTACTGAACCCCACTAAGCGGCAGGGGGCACATATAAGAACATGTAATAAATAACTACAAAATGCAATAGGTATTTAATTTTAAGGCATACCTTTAACATTTATGTAAAACACTGTGTAATATGAAAACACGAGAATGCTCGTGATCCGCCCGCAATGTGTTAATACTCTCCCATGGGAGGGGGGCGGGGAGAAGGAAGGTGATGACGCACACTAAGGACAGTGACCAGGGACGGGGTTTAAGAGAAAAATCATGTCAAAACGTCTGCCCTTCTGGTGCCTGTGCTTACCAGCACTGTACAAACTCCTTCCTTCTCCTCTTCTTGGTTCACCCCCATTCACAGGCGTACCTCTGCACCCCCTTTCCTGCCAGCATCCTGGGTGGTCCCAATACCATGTGGAGGAGTCTCCCCACACCCTGCTCTCTCAGCCACTGGATGTCCTCTCCCCTGCTCTCTTCCACTCCACTCCACTTCAGCTCCCACTCCCAGACTGCCTGGATCTAGAGACCCCTAAAACCCACCAGCTCAGCTCCGCCTGCTGACTTCCTAAAGCCCTCCCCTCCCAGCTACACACGTTGCACCAGAACCTCTTACTCCTCCACGTTCTCACTCAGCTTAGGGTCCATGATCATGGTTTCAATTGCTCTTATAAACAGCCTTTACCTGAGCTTTGGCCACACCACCTGGCAAAAAAACCCACAAACAGTAAAAACCAAATTATCCACCTTGTCTAATGTACACCCAGGCGATGTACGATGCTAGGGGCAAAGTCACACAGCCCAGCTCACTGCATTCACTAGGACTCACCAAGGTCACGTGGCCCTCTACACGCCCCACATTCCAGCGACGTGTCTCTAGTGCAGTCTCCACTCCACAATGACAGTTTCCAATGGGCCTCAAGCCCCTGAGAACGCCAACATCCCCTCTGCCCTTCTCACTGGCCTCCCACTCAACAGAAAAAATTTTTTTTTAAACCAGCAGAGAACTCCCTTAATTTTGCCCTCCCAAACCTTCACACCTGTGTGCCTCCCCCGTTAATGATAGAGATCTCTCTTCTGTCCGAGACCAATCTCTTCTCTACTATTAAATCCTTCCTATCAGAATTGGACATACTTAAGTGTCTCTCCTATTAAAAATCCATACCTAGCACTCTCCCTCCCTGGAACACACCTGGACCTTTCCCTTCCCCCTCCATCTCCACCCCAACCCCAGGCAGGTTACCATTAGTTTGCACTCCCAAGCTCCAAGGGCCCTAAAAAATATAATAATAATAAAAAAATCCATACCTACTCTTCCACACATCTCCTCAGGTCCCACCCTCTTCCTCACCTCTCCTTCATAGCTAAGCTTCTTTCAACAACTATCTGTTCTGAAATATTGACAACTGAATCAGATGATTTCTAAGGTTTCAAATGATCCAATGATGAAGCAGGAAGGTCAGGGATGGAGGTAAAACTGTGTTGTTGAAGCTGAGTGGTAAGTAGGTGGGACTCAATATACTGTTCTGTTTATACTTTTACATATATGTGTATAGACCCGAGGTTGGCAAACTGCAGCTCGCGAGCCACATGCAGCTCTTTGGCTCCTTGAGTGTGGCTCTTCCTAAGCCTTAGGAGTACCCTAATTAAGTTAATAACAATGTACCTACCTATATAGTTTAAGTTAAAAAATTTGGCTCTCAAAAGAAATTTCAATCGTAGTACTGTTGATATTTGGCTCTGTGGACTAATGAGTTTGCCGGCCACTGGTATAGGCAGAATAATGGCCTCCCAAAGATGTCCATGTCCTAATCCCCAGAACTTGTGCAGATATGACCCTACACAGCAAAGGGAAATTTAGGGTGTAGATGGACTTCATTTGCTAATCAACTGACGTTGAAATAGGGGAGAAGTCCTGGTCATCAATGTCCTCACAAGCATCCTTAAAAGTGGGGGGACAGTAACAGAACAATAGATCAGAGTGGTGCAATGTGTGAAGGGCTCACTTCACCTTTGCTAATTTGAAGCTGGAGGAAGGGGGCCAGGAGCCTGCAGAAGCTCCACGGCAAGCAGGCAGTCCCAAGAACACGACCCTGCACCTCCTTCATGTCGCCAGGGAGACCCACTCAGATTTCTGACCTCCAGAACTGCGGGATAATAAATGTATACTGTCTAAGGGCTGAAGTTAATGGCTATTTGTTACAGCAGCAATAGGAAACTAATACTATATATTTGAAGTTGTCCATACTATCCTTTAAGACTTGTCTCTACCTCCTCACCTCCACATCTCCCTTCAAAACAGCCCCTTCTGGATTCTACCCCGACTCCACGCCTGATGAGCTCCAAGCAGTGTCGCTCCAGGGGGTGCCTTTAGCTGCTGGCTTTCTCCAAGCTGGTCCAAGGCCCTCCTCCCTCTCCCCAAGCCTCTCTGTGGGTCTAGGCATTAACCATCTCCATAGCTTCACTCAGCAGCCAAGTGCCAACCATTTCCAACTCCGTACCTCCATCCCAGAAACCTCCCTTCTAAGCTCATTCAGACTGGATGCATACTGGCATTTCCACTTGCTTGTCTCACAAGCAGTCAAAATCAATCTACCCAAAACTAGAGCTTGCACTTTTCCTTCCCCCCAATTCCAATCTTTTCTCGGTGTTTCTCCACTTAGTAAATGACAATGCCACCCTCCTCCTGGCTAGAAACCTTGGGGTCGTGCCCGACATCCCCCTCTGCACTCTGCACCCATCCATCACACTGTCTTATTGACTCACTCTCCTTAAATCTCCCAAGTCCACTCACTTCTTTTCACTCTCCAGCCACCAGCGAGGCCAGGCTACCAGCATCTCTCCTCTGAATTATAATAGCTTCCTAAGTGGCCTCCAACATCCACTTTACTCACCTCTAACCTCGCTGTCAACACAGCAGCAAAAGTGCTTTTTAAATACAAATCTGCCTTTCAATCCTCCAGTGACTTTCACCACGTCTCCTGCGTCTCTCTCGCTGGCCAGTCACTGCCTCCTACACTGGGCCTGTCACAATGGCCTTCGTTCTGTCCCTCAAACATCTCAAGTTCCCTCCCACCCATCACCTGAGGCTCTTTCCTGCTTCCTCAGTTGCCTGTACCTATCATCCTCTGAGAATTCTTCCCTGATCAATCCTAGATTAGGGTCACCTGTGACAGACTGACTCATGGCCCCTCAAAAACATCCACACCCTAACCCCTGGAACCTGTGACTATGTTACCTTTCATGGCAAAGGGGACTTTGCAGGTATGATCAATGTAAGGATCTAGAGATGGGGAGAATGTCCTGGATTATGTGGGTGGGCCCAGTGTTATCACAAGGTCCTTTTGAGAGGCAGGCAAGAGTATCAGTCAGTGGGGAGATGGGACATCTAAGGCAGACCTGGAGAGATCTGAAAATATTACACTGCTGGACCTGAAGATGGAGTGCGGGGCCATGAGCCAAGGAATGAAGGCAGCCTCTAGAAACTGGAAAAGACAAAGAAACACATTCTCTCCTGGAGCCTGGGGAAGGTGTGCAACCCTGCTGACCTCCAGAGCTAAGAAAACTAATATGTTTTATTTTAAGCTACAAGTTTGTGGTAATTTTTTACAGCAGCAATAGGAAACTAATACACGTGTGTACCACCACCCCCCAACACACACACACCCTATCTATTCCCCACTCGTAGCATCTTGCATATCTTCCTTATAGTATTTATTCCAACTGTTATTTATATAACTAGAGGCCCGATGCATGAAATTCGTGCAAGAGTAGGCCTTCCATCCC